ACCAACAAATCGTCTCTTCAAAACCCTAAAATATCTGGTACAGTATAGAGGTGAAGTTCACCAATCTCATATCCATCGTCTCGTTGTGCTTTTGTGATGGTGACATCGATGACAATCAAAGAACTGTACTTTAAGAGTGCAAGAATACGGGGAAAAAGAATGAAAATGTGAGATGTGAACGATGATGATGAGGAACAATTCTGCAGACATAACAGATGATGGAAATTTAAAATTCGGTGACAACAACTAATATAAACCAGATAGCGATCAGGCTGCGCTCGAATTGTAAATGTAACCAAAGTAAAAAGCCCCTCAAAACAAAATGCTTTAGTTACAAGTACTTAGTAGATTTTTCTGAGATTATCTTAATAATAAAAACTGAATCATCGAAAATGAACGACTAACCGTTTCTGCATCAAACAGCTGTTTGTTGCTCTGCTGCAGTGATTATCACGCCTGTTCTTCTATAAATCTTCTTCTGTAAATCTCCAAGTTCAAAAGAAATGACCGACTTTCGAGATTTGTAAGCATATGAACGGAAGATGTGAGAAAACTCCAAAGAGAACATTCTCAACTTGACCACTAGATCTTTATACATTTATAATAGCAATCACATATATAGATAATGAAGTGAATACCACTGCATTTGAGATCAGCTGTGAAAGTAATATTGCACTATAATGAACATCGCGCCTGTATACTCATATTCATTGTCGTTGTTGAAAAATTTCCACGTCTCCGATTTGCAATCTACTACTACTTTTAGATGCTTTAGAAAAGAGACAGTACATCCAGAAAGCCTAAAAAAAGGACATTCCCACATGCAGCCACAGGACTCTGCACTCGCTTTTTAACTCTTGACACCGTACTTCTAATTCTGGAGAAAATCGTTATCGAAAATAATGCAAATTCTGATCGAGATAAAAGCGATTGTTACTAGAATGCGGTTATGCTTCACACCGCATTAAGAAGCCGAGACTGCATTAATAATATCTATATGTAGCAATAATGTCAGTGAAGAAGAAAAACCAGAACAGATTTTCACTAGAACAAGCAACACAATTCTGTTCCTGAATTCTTGAACAGATAAGCAAATTCTAGCCTTATGACTGAATTTCTCCATTTCAATTTCCTAATTTAGATGGAAATAAGAGATGATCATACGCAAGATTTGATAAAATGTGAGCGTAATACAAAATTGAGCATTTTTAACCACAGAATGTTGTTGGCTACCTCTCTCATAATAAAAGATCATCTCCTATTAGAAGATCACCAAAAATCGACTTGAGTTACTCCCTCAAATAGAAGACCATGGTAGTCTTCTATTATGGAGGTTTGAGAAAGTTACTCTATGTTCTAAATTTATTTTTTTATTGATTGCTTCACACATATATTTCAGTGAGTTTAAGCTTTTTTGCCATTGTGTTTTACCCCACACGTCTTAGAAAAAAGTTCTAATTATTTTCCGTTCTGTAAATAATTCATTAAAATACAGTGCATTTTTGAAAGTGATTAGAAATGTCGTAGAAAGTACTTATGAATCTTTTGGGGCTATTTGGAAAGGCTGGACCATTAGATCTATTTCAGACTAAAAAAATAATTTGAATATGCTTTGTTGATTCTTGACTTTTAAAAATCTGATAGCGTCATAAGTGCTCGATGTTTTCTTTACATTAATTGTGCTATACTGTCGTGACGAAAGTTCATACAGAGTTCGGAGACATCATATTCTAAGAGGAAAAACACTTGTCTTTAAATTGACTATTAAGCAAACATCGATCGTTAATATATTTACAGATGTAAGATCGTTAGAATAGAGGCCGGGTGTTACGAATAGAGCGTATCGTTTGAAGCTTGTGTACTGCCACAAGATAAGCTGCCAGAATTTACTTTCTTATCATTTTCCAGGACTGTATAAATTTTCTCCAAAGTACCCTGATCTTGGCCAAAAATAGAGCAAAATGGTGACCATTAGTCGAACAGAGTGTTGGAAGTGACGTTCAAAATAAGTATGCTAGAAGGCTTTCAGATACCTCATTCGAAAGAGCATAAAAAAATCGACTAAAACAAGTATATTTGAAAGTGTTTACAGATAAGTTTTGATATTGAAAAAAAATTTTGTGAAAATTCGTGAGCTTTTTCATAAAATATATGATTCCTCTCTCACTTTTTAAAGTTTTTTCAAGAAAACGTTTTTTTTCTACAAAATAGTATGTTTTTTCAAGTTCAAACGATCTCTTGTTCGAGTCTAAGACAACAGCACCATTTATGTGCTTTATCCAACACAAAAATAGAAAACTCAACTCAATTTATCACTTCTGACAATTTAGGCAGACTAAAAAGTTTTGGTTAAGTAAGAAAAGAAAAGTTCACTAGCATATTCTGTGTGAAGCAATGAATAACAAATAAAATAGTGAAACATAAAATAATCGGATGAATCTGGCTGGCATCTGGCGTAAACAAACATATTCAGAATCAACAAGAGTTATGTTAATTATAACTAAGCATAATCATATTAGAATTCCTACTATTACGAAGGTCTAACCATCTACTTTTTAATCTACTATTTAGCGAACAAAGTTTCATTTTTGATGTAAAAAAGAAAACAGATGCGTAGTGTATCAGTTGTATAAAAAGATTGTTAATTTGACTAAGAGATTTACGCATTCAGCATTTTATGCTATTAAACCAGTATGAATTTATATACTATGAATGACTTTTTCACCTGCAAAATGTAGAATGGTACGATAAGTATGACCATAACTGGTAGACATATGGGAATAATGATGGAAATTAAAATGAAACACGATAAAAAGCCAATAATTGAATTTAATGTTGAACGAAATGTAAACATTATTTCATTGTCAATACGGTCAAAATCGGTTGAATAACGATTTATGATAACACCAAATGTTGTTTGTTCAAAAAATTTCAATGGAAAATGCATTAAATTTAATAAAAAGTGTTTAAATAGTATTCGTGATGCACGAATACTTATGATTAACATGAGAAATGTCGAGAAAAATTCAAATAAGGCTAAAGAATCAATAAAACAGGTAATACTAATTTATTCTTTACGTCAACAAGAATTGCTATATTATGTTTTAGTAGATAAAATTTGAATCATAAATCATTTTATGAAGTTAAGTGAAAGATAATACTTACCATTCATAATGCCAAGACCTGCATAAACACTTAAACCTTTATATTTTAAACGAGTATTATTTTGTTCATTTTTAGAATCATCTGTCCATTTTGATAACCAAATATTTGTGGATAAACTGGCAGTACCCGTTAGACAAAAACTAGCAAATATTAGTAGACACATTGGTATAGTACAAGCCCGAATATAGACGCCAAATACAGAGAGTTTAACCTAAAAATAGAAAAATATTAATCAAGTAGCATTGAAGATATATAAAATGACATACACTGCCAGTTTGTAATTGTTCTTTTTTAATTAATTTTTTATTTTCTTCATTATTTATTTCAGATGGTTTTACAATGTGATCAACGATTGTTTTATCACTTGGACTATCATTATCAGAAAAATGAATAACATCTTCAACTTCCGGTGATTGAGGACTTTTGGGTTCTAAATAGTTTAAAGATTTTAATGAATATTATTTTGTGCGCATAAAAAGTAATAGTAATTTTCTTTTACTTACTCTATAATACTCAAAAAAATCTTTGAAATAAATGACTTACTAGCCCTATTTGTAATTATTATTAGATTATAGTCAATTTTAATCTACCTGATTCACTTTGCATATTTGATTTCTCTGAGTGCATCAATTCTTTTAATATATTACATCTAATCATTAATTCATTATATGTTCCATGATCAACGATTACACCGTTTGATACGACAATAATTTCATCACATTTATGTAAATGAGATACACCATGAGTGACTAATAATCGAGTCTAAATATAATACACAAATAGTGATTAATATATATTAGAAACATGTTAATAAATAAATATCTCAGTTTCACATACTTTGCCTGCTAATAAACCTTTTGGTCCGATAACATGTCGAAATATATGTTTTCCAACGTGTGCATCAACAGCCGATAATGGATCATCGAGTAAATATAAATCAGCATTATTATAAATTGCACGAGCCAACGATACTCTTTGTTTTTGACCACCAGATAAATTTATACCCTAAACAATATGATAAAATAAAAAGTTCAAGATATATTCAATATACGGCGTGGCCAGCTAACTCTACTACCGTGACAGAATTTCGTAACGGATTTTTCATCATTTTATTTTGCCTAAAATTCCTAAACTAACTGTCGTAGAGTGTCGCGAGACATCATAAGTTTAAGAGAAAAGTCTGGTTAATATTTTAAAACATTTTTCAGCCTTACAACATGTATTGTAAGAAGCTGCAACATAAACATTGAGACACTAGTTTAAACTAGTGAAAAATGTTTTAAAATATTAACCAGACTTTTCTCTTAAACTTAAGATGTCTCGCGACACTCTACAGCAGTCAGTTTAGGAATTGTAGGCAAAACAAAATGATGAAAAACATATTACGAAATTCTGTTACGGTAGCAGAGTTAGCTGGCTACGCCATATAGTTAATACAATTTCTTTTATTCAGGAGACTATTTATTATTAAAAAAAGAAGTTATTACCTTTTCTCCAATTTCTGTTTGATCACCTTCTGGTAACATATCTAAATCTTGTTTTAATGCACATGAATCAAGAACTTGCATATATTCTTGATGATTAAAATCTTTTCCAAATAAAATATTTTCTTTTAATGTTGAATTCATAATCCATGCCTGTTGTGGTACATAAGCTATTCTACCATTAATTATAACTTGACCTTCCACTTTATGCATTTCACCTAATATTGCAGATAATATTGATGATTTACCACTTCCTACAGTGCCAACAACAGCATACAAAGAACCTTTTCGCATACGCATATTGATGCTAATATAACAAAATAATTTATTCTAGATTAAATAAATAAAAAAAAGAAAAAAGAAAAATACATACTTTTTTAATATTAAACTATTTCGTTCCTTTATTGTCCATGAAAATGAACCATTTCTAATTTCAATTACATTTTCATCTAAATATTAATAATTAGATGAATATTATATATATATATATATATCAATTTTTATTTCCATCTATATTTCATACCTTCACTGGTAGAAACTCGTTGCACAGCATCTTCATCAATTTCGTCATTTGAAAGAAACTTTGATATACGTTTATCGGATACACGAGCCTAATTAAAAATGAACATACATCATACATTAAGATTTCAATCTTTAATATTTATTAAAACAAGAGATGGGCAAGTACACACTTTTTCGAGTACAAGTATAAGTACGAGTACAAAACAGTTTTACCCGAGTATGTATTTGAGTACAAATTTTTTTAAAAAAAAACCAGGATTATCGTCAGAAAACTTTTCATGTGATGATACTATATCAATTAGTCTCTTCTAAATTCCTTTTTTTCTTAGTTAAAACAGGTTTTCATCCGAGTACTTTTTCGAGTACACATTAAAAAAAGTCGTGAGTAGGAGTATCTAAAACTTTGTACTCGAGTATACTCGAGTATGAGTATTTACTCGTACTCGCCCATTTCTTATTAAAATTGTTTGAGTATCAACTACGTACATCAACAATACTGGTAATAATACTTGGAAATACTACTAACGGAAATCTCAATAAATTAAATAGAGATAATGCTACAAATGCTTTTGGTGCATCCAATACATTATTTTTATTTGATAATACATAAGTGGCAAATGTTGTTATGCAAACCTAAATTATTAAATTAGAGATATAGAAAAAAGAATAATTGTAAAAGTTGACAACTAGTATACCAATATGGGAGTAAATGTCCAAGCAAATGTCGATATCGCACTAACAATCGCCTTTTTTCGAATACATATCAATTCATTTTCACGTATATCTAGTACACGACGAATAAATGCGGGCTCCCAAGCATACAATTTTAATACCTAAAGTAGAATAGTTAAATATAAAAATGCTGAAAATTGAAATAAAATGACATGAATGTTTTATACATTTCATAACAACTTACCTTAATACCACTGAGAACTTCATTCATTGTTTTTATTCTTTGATCTTTCAATCCCATTTGTTTTGTCTACAGAATAAATCATAAAAAATAGAAATATTAAATAAATACAAAAAATAAATTTCTAATATTCACCGTTAACTTCTTTTGTATTCTTTGTATGTATAAATTAAGCGGTATCATAGTCAATAGCAAAAATACACCAGGTACAATTGAATAACCCATAATATCATAAAGTAAAACGAGAGAAATAATGATTTGCATTGGACCCGACCATAATATATGAATATAAGATGTTAAATCTTGAAATCGTTGAGCATCAATTGCCATCAAATTAACAATTTCACCTGTTGTACTCGATTGTTTCGATGAACTCGATAATTTCAAACTCTAAACATTTTTATTAAAAACATTTCGATTACATCTACAGTGTTGGTAGTCTTTGTCATACTTTTCTATAAACTATTCCTGTAGTAGCCGAACGAAACCGAAGTCCAACAAGAAATTGACGGTGAAAATAGGCTTGCAAAAACAACGTTTGAACAAAGACAACTGAGCTCAATAGACAAGCATAAAATATGCCAAGCCACATGGGTTGTGACGGAGTGTTCATAAACTTTAATAGTATCCTTGAAACAATGAAAGAGAATGTTTATTCTAATCGTTTTTGTGGTAAAGAGATGGACGCCAACATATAATGGAATTGGTTCTCTCGACATTTCAATGTAGAATGATAGTCCTATCATTCCCCTCTACTTTCCACTTTTTCTTACTACAAAAAATATTTTGTACGCCATTGTTTTCATTTTTTTGTTATCAAAGATGCTTCTACCACAAATAGTTGCTCTGACGAGGGAAGTCTACCAACTTGAAAATCGTTTGCGGGCCAAAATCCAGTGGGTCATAGGTTATCGATGGTCCTGAATTCGAATATCACCATGAGATCGGCTGCTAGGCCTTGTATGATCTGGTTTTCCAGAAAAACAGCTTTTCAGAAACCTCAAAAAATCCCCAAAACTTTTTCTAAATAAGTCATGATTGTAGCCCGCGAAATTAGAATCAAAATGAGACATCTTCCAGCTCTACATGACCTTTCTTTGCAAAGTTATAGAATTTACAAGATAAGCCCTAAATGTTCATTGGCCACCTCAGAGCTACAGAAAGAAAAAA